AGAATAAATTAAGTTTGGGATAATAAGTACATTATTTATGCAGCCAAACTTAGGTTTTATTTAATTTATTGATACTTGTTGGATTTGTTTAAGTTACAACATTTGTTTCAGTAACTTACTTATTCAATTATATTACTGAAAAAAAGCAAAGTAACTTAGTATTTTACATTAATTGCATTATCGTAGATTTATTATTTTGGAGGTGGGCCACAGGGGGGTCCAAGCTCCGCGTCCTTCACGTGTGCTTCACTTTGCATCGACCAATCGGCTCGCTCCTTCCCCAGTGTGAGTGGGACCCAGGTACCCGTCTACAGAAACACGCCTGTTTGCTATCCTCACTCCAAATTGGTGCAACGAGCTCCCTGCTGATATCAGGACAAGGGTTGTCAGCGCTTACAGTACTTTAATACTTATCGGCCTTTTGTTCATGTATGGATACAAACATTGAAACTGACCATGAAGGTTTAAGAAAATTCAGTAAAACTTGTGCACATTTTTTACATTTGACAAGAAACCCTTTCTCTTGTAGCTATATCAATTAAAACAATTAGAAATATAGACATTATAATGAATATATAAATATAATTAATATTATAAGTGGATATGTTTGCCGGACAAGTTTCTCTCATTAGTTAGAAAGTCAACAGGGCAGTGTGTGTTTGCGGTTACATCATGTATAGGATATCCTTAGCAACAATGGATCATATATCCACCATGATAGACCTCTTTGAAATCTGAATTTCAATATTCAAATATTTGTCCGAAGGTGGCTCAAAGAGAGCAGCGACCTCGGGGATGTCTGAGTCTTCACCAGCACATCGAGAGAGACAGAGAGAAGCAGCTGACAGGACGACTCAGGAGAAGTAAGTGTGATTCTGTTCAGACACTTTCATATCATGTTTATTGTGTGTGCAGAGTGCAATATTTTCCTCAACATATATTTCACATATTTTAGTTATCAGATGTGAATTAGTCTTATTTATTTGTCAGACTAAGCATGAAATCAGGTACTTTATAAAAAGTGAGGTATGCAGTCTGTTCTGCAGACGAAACCCCACTATGTTCATGTTTAATAAAATAACCTGAATGGTTCATCTTACATTTGTATTGCTTTGTGTATATACAGCCATCTGATTCTCAGTTAAATGACACCAACATTTATTTTTAAATAGGGAAAGTTCCCCCGTTACACAAAGAAAATAATGCAAACTCTAAATATGTGCTTATAAAAGAAACAATGGGAAACTTAATTATTCATTATTCTCAAAGTTTTATTTCCATTTTGGTTAAATAGCCCATAAAGTCGAACCCACTCTTAAAACATAGGTATTTGATAGTAGCAGAGCATTGAAAGGTGAATAAACAAAATAATAAAATACTATTATCGAACCAGCAGACAGAGAGAGAGACAGAGAGAGAAGCAGCTGACAGGACGACTCAGGAGAATTAAGTGTGATTCTGTTCAGACACTTTCATATTTTGTTTATTTTTGAGAAAGAAATTCTCCTTCAGAATATTTTCCAAAGGGAAGGAACATTTAATGAATCTCATCTCAATCAGAAGCAATGAAATCTAAAACCCTATTATGTTAATTTATTCCCTTAAATCATTTGTTTCTCTTGAAATCACTTGGAATATTTTATGTATTTGTATTAAAATATCAATGTTTCATTTTGAATCATAAACTTGATCTAATGTTCACTTTACCAAGAACGCTGGACATTTATAATGAAAACTAAACAGTCTGAGTCTAGTGGACATAATTGCCCTGAGTTTTATCTTTCAGGCTCATGTTAGGTTTTTAGATCTTTGTGGGCGATGTTTGCAGCCTGTCCCGTAGACATTACTCAGGGCTGAAAACCCCACTATTTTCCTGCTTTAAAAAACGGTGGTAAATCTTAAATGTTTTATTGGAGACGATGTGTATAGACAGCAATCTCCCTCTCACTTCAAATAAACACAATGTAATTTTCATTAGGGTTAGTTCACCCCTAATAAAATAATTAACACACATCTTTTAATCGGGCTTATAAAAGCAACAATACCCAATTTAATTAAGCTAGAATTTCAGTTTATGTCTCTGATAGTAGGAGTACATTGTAATGTGAATAAATAATCTACAAAATATATCACCAGCAACATATTAATACTTATAGCCTCGACAAAAAACAACAACATAAAAAGTCAGTGTTGTTGTGTGGCACTATACAGTTATTGATTAGTTTACAACTGGTCTTTCATTGAAATGAGACATTTCCATGTGCTAAAAATACATGTTATGGTGTGTGCCTGTTACTGCTGGTGCTGCTCAGAATTTGCATTTCCTTAACATGAACTTCCTCATTAAACTGCTGCACTGAAGCGAGTGGTGCAGTCTGTGTTTGTGGTAATTTGACTGAAACATTAGGTTTTTAAAATAATTTAAATGTAACTGACATCATTTATAAGATTTATAAATGATCAATAACAATATTGGTTTCATCTAACAGAACAAAGATGCAGTGGAGTCTGTTTGTGCTCCTTCTGATGGGTAAGTGGATTCTAAATTAAATCACATCTGGAGTCATGAAACTGCTCATAACAATAAAAAGTGGAATAAGTGAACTCAGACCCCCGTTAAGATGAAGGGGATGATGTAAGTGGTGGGGGTGATTCTAGTACTCATGAGTTTGATTTAATGATCAGGCACTGCACTTTCCCTCCTCACCTCATACCTCAAAGATCGCACCTACAGGGTGACTTGGAGAGGGTCGGAGTCCGACCCTTGTCAATTAACCACAGGGGTCCCTCAGGGCTCTGTTCTTGGTCCCCTCCTCTTCTCCGTACACAAACTCGCTCGGATCAGTCATTAGCCCACATGGTTTTTCTTACCACTGCTACGCTGACGACACCCAATTAATTCTGTCCTTTCCCCGCTCAGAGACCCAGGTCGTCGCACGCATCTCTGCTTGTCTAGCTGACATCTCTCAGTGGATGTCTGCTCACCACCTCAAGCTCAACCTTGACAAGACTGAACTGCTTTTCCTTCCGGGAAAAGATTGTCCCACTCTTGACCTAACAATCAACATCGGCCCCTCTGTTGTTTCCCCGACTCAGACTGCAAGGAATCTGGGTGTGACCCTAGATAACAACCTGTCCTTCACTGCAAACATCGCTGCTACAACCCCTTGCTGCAGATACACGCTTTACAACATCAGGAGGCAGACCCGGCGTCATGGGCGGGCCCCATGGGGCCGGGCCCGCCCATACAGGATTTGGGCCTGCTGTTTTAATCAGGGCTGAATACAACATTTTAATTGTTTTATTATTATGTTTATTGTTGTTATTTGTAGGGCTTTGTTAATATTTTTGTTTTAAACTATGTTGAAAGATTGGTTTAATATCATTTTTTTATTTTGCTATGAAATTCTGAATGAAAGGCTGCGCGCAAGACTGGTTTTTCACTGGGTTGAGTCGTGTGGGTTTTTGAGTGAGATGCGGCACAGCAGCCTGTCAGTTTGCTCTTGCTAGGTTAGTTTGGCTATTATCATTTATATTTATCTGCAACAATGGATATCAGGAAGTGGTTAATGAAAGGAATATGGCAACTCAGCGCCAGATGCACATTAGAATAAATCAGTTACGTTACCAACGAGCTAGCAAGCCAGCCAGGGACAAGGGAGGCTGGCAATCAATTATATTTTGAAAATAAATTTACTCTCAAGCCGGCTCTCTCACAAACTCCTGCTCTGTGCGCAAGCAGACCGCTGCACACGCTCTCTGCCTCGCTCAATCTCTCTCTCCCTTTCTCTCCATCGCTCAACCTCACTCCACCTCTCCACCTTGTGTGTGCGCTCTTCAAGTTTGCCTGCGTGCTTGCCCAAGTTGGCACAGCGTTACAAATGTGCCACAAAACCAACCAATGGATGTAGCCTATAATAAGACCGTCAACAGCCTTATGGCAACCTAAAACCCCTCTGTTTCCGTAACAACAATTCACGAGCGCCCTAACAACCGCCCCCCCCAATATGTACGTTTCGGGGTGGGCCCGCCCTTCCTGGTAAATCAAATGCCCGCCCAGAGACGTATGTCTGCCGCCGGGTCTGTCAGGAGGATACGTCCCCAGCTGACCCAGAAAGCGACGCAGGTTCTGGTCCAGACTCTTGTCATCTCACGCCTAGACTACTGCAACTCCCTCCTGGCTGGTCTACCTGCATGTGCCATCCGACCTCTGCAGCTCATCCAGAATGCAGCGGCTCGTCTGGTCTTCAACCTTCCAACATTTTCCCACACCACTCCGCTCCTCCGCTCCCTTCACTGGCTTCCGGTAACTGCTAGAATCCACTTCAAAACAATGGTACTGTCATACCATGCTGCGAATGGATCTGGCCCTTCTTACATCCAGGACATGGTTAAACCGTACACCCCAGCGCGTGCACTTCGCTCTGCATCAGCCAAACGACTCGTTGCGCCCTCGCTGCGAGGGGGAACCAAGTTCCCATCAGCAAAAACACGTGGGTTTGCTATCCTGGCTCCAAAATGGTGGAATGAGCTCCCCATTGAAATCAGGACCGCAGATCGCTTGCACATCTTCCGGCGCAGACTGAAAACTCATCTCTTTCGACTCCACTTCGAGCGTTAGAACGATTAACGAAGCACTTATATACTAATAAAGGACTGGCTTACCTTAAGCCAGTTGAGTAGCACTTGAAATGTTTGGCTCTATGAAACCTGATGTACTTATATGATTCTGTTTTCTTCAATGTTGTATCTTCCTGGTCGAGTGTACTTATTGTAAGTCGCTTTGGATAAAAGCGTCAGCTAAATGCAATGTAATGTAATGATCAGGTGCTTATCATACTGTCAGCTCCATCACTGCAGAATTGTCTCTGTTTTTAGGTCAGTGTTCCTTCTTCACATGTCACCTCTATGAGTACCACTTCATTCAAGAGGGAAAGACCTGGGAGGGAGCCCGGAGTTATTGCAGAGAGAATTTCACTGACCTGGCCACAGTGTCTGACATGAGAGACGTGGAGAGACTGACTAACTCTTCACAGACTACAGACGTCTGGATTGGACTGCACAGCATATCAAGTACCGAGAGGTCGTGGCACTGGTCTCTGCCGGGGGTGGAGTTCGAAGAATCTGAGAAAGAATGGGGGACAAGTCAGCCGGATAATTGGGCTACTGAGGAGAACTGTGTGGTGATAAAAGGTCAACAATGGTACCCTTACCCTTGTAAGAATCACGTTGGGTTCATCTGCTACAATGGTGAGAATACATATCTAATTTTGATATTGTGTGTTAACCTCATGTCATACTGTGTAACAATTTTGAAAATATAATGACACGTATTTTTCCGAATGCATTGTTAAGACAACAATATATTTAAAATAAATGTTTGCTCCTCAGTTTTATATAACATTAATGGTAAATGTCATGATACAATTCTACACATTTTAAATACATGGTGTGTATACGACAGTGGTCAGGTACAGGCCTACTTGTAATGATGCAATGTAACATTATTAAAGGTAACACTTTAATAGACTTTAAACTCAAATTGTTTTAATTTTTCAAATGTTTCCACCAGTTTTTTTAGTTGGAAAACACATTTATTGAGACTAATTCACTTGTAACAATGTGTAATTAATTGTGTCTCTTTTTTCACACAGAACCAAATCAAACATACCACTTTATAGATGAGTACAAGAGCTGGCTTCAGGCTCAGAGCGACTGCAGAGAACATCACACTGACCTGGTCAGTGGAATCAAACAGATCAATTCAACAGAATTCAAGGAAGAAATCAAAAGATCGTCAAATCCAGATAACAAATTGTGGATCGGCCTGTTCAGAGACACCTGGAGTTGGTCAGATGGGAAGAATTTCTCCTTCAGACACTGGGATCCGGACTCATTTAAAGAAGAAGCCTCAAAGACTTGTGCTATGACTACGCCAAATGGAAAATGGAGCTCCGACATCTGCACAAATCAAAAACCCTTCTACTGCTATGACGGTGAGTTTTGAAAAAGTCCTTCAAAGTATTTTCGTTTTTAGTTATATATTTGTACACACATGTTAAATATCCTTTAGTGGAGACTGACAATTATAAAACCCTGAAAGAGCAGAAAGTAATGAATATCATTTAGTCTTGTTTTTGTCCTCACTATTTTTTATCCTGGCTTTTACAAAAGGTGCCACGTCATTTGTTGCCTTAGTTTTCTTTATCAACGGTTTTCATACTATATCTATATATTGTACTTTTGTTTTTAGAGATTTCTATTTATTATAATAACAAATGTTGATTGCATGGTGCTATGTTATTGAAATTCATTGTTTTTCAATAAATGATTAATCTAAGTTTTAAAAAATATCCATTTCAATGACAGACAAAGTGATCCTGATCAAAGAGAGTAAGACTTGGGATGAGGCCCTGACTTACTGCAGAGAGAAGCACCATGACCTGGTCTCCATCACTGACCGTCACCAGCAGAGATGGGTCGAAAAGAGAGCCAAGATGGCCGACACTGAGTTTGTCTGGCTGGGAATGCGCTACACCTGCACTCTGGACCTGTGGTTCTGGGTCATTGATCGTCTGGTCTGCTATTACAACTGGGCCCAACAAGAAAAGACTGAGGGTTGTGACAGGGCTACAGCCATGAAGAGAGATGGAGAGTGGTACAAAAAGGCTGACGATGAAAAGTTTCATTTCATCTGCGCTAAGTAAACCCATTTGTATATTTACTGCAACAAGCTCACTCTTCTCTAATATGTATCTGCTCTCTGGGTTTATTGAATGGCTCTAGTTCAAATATAGAAATCACAGCCTGAAGAGGGGAGAAACTAAATGACTAACAGATTACTAACTGAAATGGAGAAAAAGGGGCGACACTAAAACATACATTTGCCTCTGTGAACATCTGAATTACTTTATGATGTGGACTTGTTATAGTAGTTATTGATATAATGTATATTTATCCTCTCAAAGTGTGAAACCTGTAATCTTCATTTGAATTGTTGTGTCCTATTATATGTTTATGAGGAAAAATATATAAAAAGACAAATCTATAATGTTTTGCTTTCCATAAATATTTTACGTTATGGTTGAAATGTGGTGATGGTTATAATATGTGTATCACTATTTTGTCATATTTACCTTTGTGGAGTTTTAACTGGATGTTTAATTGTCTAAAGCTGAATAAACGATCTGACCCAAAAACAAGGTGTGGTTCTTTCATCCACTGGCTTTAAATAGTCATATTTTACATTTACCTAAGAGGTGCTTATTGGACAGTAAACACATATATAATGTATGGGTATGTAATCGACAATAATTTCTCCATAGCTGTCATTCTTACAAATCAAATGAGGACTTTGTTTGAGTTCACTGACAGTGAATGTGCAGCTTGTCAGCAGGCACCCTACGTAAACAGGAATTAGTCATAGAAGTGGAAGATATTTTTGTTGTTGTGGTTATCTTTCAACACTAGAGGACGCAGTTCAGTTCTTCTGTTGGTGCCTGCTGTCGTTGGGATTTGCCCACTATCTTCCAAACAATTTAAAAATAACTTTCTAATAAAACATTTGCTAAATAGAATGTAATAATTTGACAATACAAATATTTTAATAACCATCTATGGCAAGAGTTTTTAGTTTTGGGGTAGAAATATCTGTGGTGATCTAGGGGGTCCCTAATGACATATCCATCATAATGTGTGGTCCTGTGGGCAGTGGCGGTCGGCCCATAGGGACGCTAAGGGCGCCGCCCCCCCTCTTTCCACATGTTTGATTGTCATTAAAAATAAAAAATAAATATATTTTTAAATCTTTTTTTTTTTTTTTTTTAATGAACAAGGTAAATATTATATAGTTGGTATCAGTAAAATGTATAATCTACAATAACATCTCGTTTAAAATTGTGTTACGATGTCTAAAGTTACTGATAAGTCACATGTTTCCTGCCTGGCCACAGCGTGTATCATTACCCTCTCTCGTCCGGGCGGTAGAAAGGAGCCCTCAGCCAGAGCAGCAGCAGCCAACAAGCTGACTGTTGCTATCTGTATACTATGCCACCGAAACATAATTTCAGCCAATCAGCATCGTCAGATCTGATGCTCAAAGGGCGCCCTGTCAGCGCCCTGGCCTGTGTGTCTGTGAGTTGTTTGGACTCGTATCCAAGGTGACGCTACAGTAGTTGTCGAGGATGGCTGCGTCTGCAGGTGGAGACTCCGGTGATAGTGGATTGCCGGAGCTGTAGATTAACATTTACATGCTTATTGTAGTTGTAAGGGAAATGCCTGTAGCACCATGGAGCTATGTGTGGGCTGGACCTGTATTTTACAGGAAAGGAGTGAGCAGAGGGGCGAGTTGTCGATTCTTGTTCAGTTTTCATCTTCCTCACCCTCTCAAACTTTGAGTTGTGCGCGCTGCTAAAGAGACGCGCTACCATGGAAACCAAACAATGGTGTAGCTGTATTAAAGTCCGAGTGGAAACAGTCGTGAGTAAATCTGATTTTGTCAGAAATCGGGAGAAATATGGGAGAAATATGACACCGGGAGGAAACCGGGAGGGGGCAATGAAATCGGGAGTCTCCCGCGAAAATCGGGAGGGTTGGCAAGTATGACACACACACACACACACACACACACACACACACACACACACACACACACACACACACACACACACACACACACACACACACACACACACACACACACACACACACACACACACATAATGTTCGTATTTAGTCTCCTGATTTTAAATGGGAATTAAATCATTGGAGTGTTCCCAAAGCACCAGTGTTCTGCAGTTTGTGTGGGCCTACTGTACTGTTGCACAGTTTTGGAAGATTCATAGCACATTTTTAAGCCTCAATTTGTCCTCTCCCCCCCCCCCCCCTCTAATATCACCAGAAGTCATAATTTAAGGGGTCATTTCTCAAAAACGGATTCTGGGGGAGGATCCCCCCTGACCACCCTAGTATGGTTTGGTCCCTATTTCCATAGCCCCACCAAAAATATTTTCCACCAGCCGCCACTCACTGCCTGTGGGTATCTGTGCAAGTGTGTGTGGTCATTCTAATTCAAGTGTTATCGTGTGCTGAAGCATTTGGATTTCCTTTTATTTGAACTAGTGGACCAAAGCTGGCATTAGCCCATTCTCAAAGTTCAACTTTTCATGAATATCAATGTAACAGTTGGGCTGCTTTTAAGTGTCAAGAGAACACAGGAAGGAAGTTGTGAGTTATTTTGATCTTGTTCTCTTTAAGTTAAGTCAAAGGCTTTGTATCAGAAATATACAGCAGGTGAAACATGTATTCAGGCCTCTTTATAGAATAAGGACATGAAAACACTGATGCCAAACTGTATTACAAAGGTGGACACTATGACTGTTGCCATGGCAGAGTTATTCAAATAGAGAGAAATATGGGATATGTTTCCTCCTAAGTCAAGAGCAGTCTTTGTTCTAGTTGTGCTGTTTGGATATGTTCATGTAAATGTGATGTTAATATCCCGGGAGCCTTCCTGTGCCACACAGCGACTGCCCCAGTGCTCTGTACATGGCCTGCTGGATCAGTCTGTAATCCCTACTGTATTATGTATATTTATATTTAATATTTTACTTGAAACATGATCTGTGTAGCTTTATAATTACCAGTTAAATAAATTTAATTTGATTGATTAAGTTGATTTGATTTGATAAGTGGTTGTTATCACTATCTTTCTGTTAGAATTCAGGCAATAGTTTCCAATCGTTCCATATCAAGTCTTAAGGGTTTTTATAAGGTGTCCCACACTGGTTTCTTATTTGTTTTGAGAAATTGTTTTTCAAAAGTATCTTGTTTGTGCACGATTATTGCTATTTACTGATCTTGATATACTTTAGGATAATACTATTGAATAGTTATTGGTGTATAAAATGCCTGCACATTTATTTGAATATCCTAGTTCAATAACATGTATGCTATTAAGAGCACTAAACTAAACTGGAGTTACCGCCTGGAACTTGTATGCTTCTGCCAACCAGTCATGGAGCAGTTTACATCCATGTCTGTCCAACATGTCATCGATTCATAATTTTATCCCATCAGAAAGTTGAGTGACTTTGTCATAGTTAACATATTAATTCTTGTTACGGCCACAACATCGTGTTTTGTGAGAGACTTTTGGCCTCTTGACCACAATCAAAGGTCAAACATGTGACAGAAATTGGTTCGTCCTTGAGTCCAAGTGGAAGATTGTGCAAGACTTGAATTAATTCCTCACGTTCTCCTGAGATATAGCATGCACAGGAATGAAGCAGCTGGATGGACAGACTCATAAGAATAGAGACAACAAAGAGATAATGTTTTTGACTTGTGTTTCAGAATAAAGAAACTATGTGACTGAAATTAAAATAATATTGACAAACTTGTAATATGAGGGGCTCAAACACAGCCAGAATGTTTCATTAAAGCTGTTTGACATATGTTAACAAGCAATATCCTAACAAAAATATAAAAAATATAAACATTCAATAGTTATCATTAGTGCATATTTTGGAACGGTACCTTTCTTTCCGTGTGTCAGACAGTCAACAAGGAAGTGTGTTCAACTTTTTTCCCTGTTACATGTAATTGATATTCTTTCCATCAATGGATCCTATATCCACCATGATAGACCTCTTTGACATCTGGATTTTAATATTCAAATGTTTCCCCAAAGGTGGCTCAAAGAGAGCAGCGACCTCGTGGATATCTGAGTCGTCACCAGCACATCGAGAGAGACAGAGAGAAGCAGCTGACAGGACGACTCAGGAGAAGTAAGTGTGATTCTGTTCAGACACTTTCATATTTTGTTTATTTTTGAGAAAGATATTCTCCTTCAGAATATTTTCCAAAGGGAAGGAACATTTAATGAATCTCATCTCAATCAGAAGCAATGAAATCTAAAACCCTTTTATGTTCATTTATTCCCTTAAATCATTTGTTTCTCTTGAAATCACTTGGAATATTTATTTATTGATTAAAAAACTCAGTTTTTATTTTGAATTATAAACTTTATCTAATCTTCACCTTGAAAAAAAAGGGTGGGCACTTTACCAAGAAGCTGGACATTTATAATGAAAACTAAACAGTCTGAGTCTAGTGGAAATGTTTTGCCCTGAGTGTTACCTTTCAGGCTCATGTTAGGTTTTTGGAGCTTTGTGGGCGATGTATGCAGCCTGTCCCGTAGACATTACTCAGGGCTGAAAAACCCACTATTTTCCTGCTTTAAAAAACGGTGGTAAATCTTAAATGTTTTATTGGAGACGATGTGTATACACAGCAATCTCACTCTCACTTCAAATAAACACAATGTAATTTTCATTAGGGTTAGTTTAACTATAATAAAATAATTAACACACATCTTTTAATCGGGCTTATAAAAGCAACAATACACAATGTAATTAAGCTAGAATTTCAGTGTATGTCTCTGATAGTAGGAGTACATTGTAATGTGAATAAATAATCTACAAAATATATCACCAGCAACATATTAATACTTATAGCCTCGACAAAAAAACAAACATAAAAAGACAGTGTTGTTGTGTGGCACTATACAGTTATTGATTAGTTTACAACTGGTCTTTCATTGAAATGAGACATTTCCATGTGCTAAAAATACATGTTATGGTCAAGTCAAGTCAAAGTCAACTTTATTGTCAATCTCAACATATGTTTGTACACACAGAAAGATCGAAATACTGTTTCCCACAGTCCCGAGGTATAAAATAACACATTAAAATACAAGAACACTCAATAATTACAAAAAAACACAAAATAACCGTTTACTTAAAGTAAGCAGGATATATATAAATATATATAAAAACAAAGATGATGTAAATAGTGCAAATGAGAGTGCAACATATTTTCATAGCAGCGTAAAAGTGACTGGTGCTGGATTTGTTGTTGTGTGTGTGTGTGTGTGTGTGTGTGTGTGTGTGTGTGTGTGTGTGTGTGTGTGTGGGGGGGGGGGGGGGGGGGTGTGTTAAAGTCCCGGTCCAGTGGGGGCAGGGTGGAGAGGTGAGATAGAGGGGAGAGAAGGGAGAGAGGGGAGAGGTGGGAGGGGGGAGAGAGTTCAGCCTCCTGACAGCCTGGTGGTGTGTGCCTGTTACTGCTGGTGCTGCTCAGAATTTGCATTTCCTTAACATGAACTTCCTCATTAAACTGCTGCACTGAAGCGAGTGGTGCAGTCTGTGTTTGTGGTCATTTGACTGAAACATTAGGTTTTTTAAATAATTTAAATGTAACCGACATAATTTATAAGATTTATAAATGATCAATAACAATATTGGTTTCCTCTAACAGAGCAAAGATGCAGTGGAGTCTGTTCGTGCTCCTTCTGATGGGTAAGTGGATTCTAAATTAAATCACATCTGGAGTCATGAAACTGCTCATAACAATACAAAGTGGAATAAGTGAACTCAGACCCCCGTTAAGATGAAGGGGATGGTGTAAGAGGTGGGGGTGATTCTAGTACTCATGAGTTTGATTTAATGATCAGATGCTTGTCATACTGTCAGCTCCATCACTGCAGCATTCTCTCTGTTTTTAGGTCAGTGTTCCTTCTCCACATGTCACCTCTATGAGTACCACTTCATTCCTGAGGGAAAGACCTGGGAGGAAGCCCAGAGTTACTGCAGAGAGCATTTCACTGACCTGGCCACAGTGTCTGACATGAGAGACGTGGAGAGACTGACTAACTCTTCACAGACTACAGGCGCCTGGATTGGACTGAGGAGCATCAATGAAAAAAGTATCAAAGAGTGGCACTGGTCTCTGCCGGGGGAGAAGTACTATCCTACTGAATGTGAACCAGGATGGGGTCCAGATGAGCCGAACAATGATGGTAACAATCCTGAGAACTGTGTGGTGATTTGGCCCTCAAAAGAATGGTACGATGTCCCTTGTTCTCTCAGCTTTAAGTTTATCTGCTACAATGGTGAGTATATGTCACTATTAATGCTATATAAATTATATCATACTGTGTAACAATAGTTGACAGATAACTCATGTTGTAGAGTTACATTTAATTTAATTAATTAATTTGATGATACAATTCTACTTGTTTGAATATATTGTAATGGTAAAGTAAAGGCTTATTTTTTTATTATTCAATCTACATGGTGATGGTATTCATTATATTTAACATCATTGTTTAACATGATTTAAGTAAGAGAATTTTTTTTTAAAACTTGTAAAATGTGTCTTTTCATTCTCACAGAAACAGGGCCACAGAAGTTCTTTGTAATTGATGAACCAATGAAGTGGCTTCAGGCTCAGAGCTACTGCAGAGAACATCACACTGACCTGATCAGTGGAATCACACACATCAATGAGTTCAAGAAACAGAATGTCTCTTCTGACTTGTGGATCGGCCTGTTCAGAGACACCTGGAGTTGGTCAGATGGGAAGAATTTCTCTTTCAGACACTGGGATCCGGACTCATTTGAAGAAGAAGCCTCAAAGACTTGTGCTATGACTACGCCAAATGGAAAATGGAGCTCCGACATCTGCGCAAATCAAAAACCCTTCTACTGCTATGACGGTGAGTTTTGAAAAAGTCCTTCAAAGTATTTTAGTTTTTAGTTATATATTTGTACACACATGTTAAATATCCTTTAGTGGAGACTGACAATTATAAAACCCTGAAAGAGCAGAAAGTAATGAATATCATTTCGTCGTGTTTTTGTCCTCACATTTTTTTATCCTGGCTTTTACAAAAGGTGCCACGTCATTTGTTGCCTTAACTTTCTTTATCAACGGTTTTCATACTATATCTATATATTGTACTTTTGTTTTTAGAGATTTCTATTGATTATAATAACAAAGGTTGATTGCATGGTGCTATGTTTTTGAAATTCATTGTTTTTCAATAAATGATTAATCTAAGTTTTAAAAAATATCCATTTCAATGACAGACAAAGTGATCCTGATCAATGAGAGTAAGACTTGGGATGAGGCCCTGACTTACTGCAGAGAGAAGCACCATGACCTGGTCTCCATCACTGACCGTCACCAGCAGAGATGGGTCCAAGAGAAAGCCAAGATGGCCGACACTGAGTTCGTCTGGCTGGGAATGCGCTACACCTGCACTCTGGATCTGTGGTTCTGGCTCATTGATCGTCTGGTCTGCTATCACAACTGGGCCCCAGACCAAATGGATATGTGTGGCATGGCTGGAGTCATGGAGAGAGATGGAAAGTGGTACAAAAAGGCTGACCATAAAAAGTTTCATTTCATCTGCGCTAAGTAAACCCATTGTATATTTACTGCAACAAGCTCACTCTTCTCTAATATGTATCTGCTCTCTGGGTTTATTGAATGGATCTAGTTCAAATATAGAAATCACATCCTGAAGAGGGGAGAAACTAAATTACCAACAGATGATTAAACTGAGGATTAGAAATTGAGAAAAAGGGGTGACACTAAATGTAACATTTTTTTGCCTCTGTGAACATCTGAATTAGTTTATGATGTGGACTTGTTGTAGTAGTTATTGATATAATGCATGTATATGTATCCTCTTAAAGTATGAAACCTGTAATCTTCATTTGAATTGTTGTCTTTTATGTTTATGAGGAAAAATATATAAAAAGACAAATCTATAATGTTTTGCTTTTCATAAATATTTTACATTATGGTTGAAATGTGGTGATGGTTATAATATGTGTATCACTATTGTTGTCATATTTACCTTTGTGGAGTTTTAACTGGATGTTTAATTGTCTAAAACTGAATAAACGACCTGACCCAAAAACAAGGTGTGGTTCTTTCATCCACTGGCTTTAAATAGTCATGTTTTACATTTACCCAAGAGGTGCTTATTGGACAGTAAAAACATATATAATGTATGAGTTTATAATTGTATACACTTGTAAATTGATGGAGATATTTGTGTTGGTTTAGTTATCTTTTAAAGGTCACCTATCATGCTATTTTTAGGCAATAGCATAGGTCTCAGATATATACAAATAAATAAAAAATATGTCTATGAAGTGTTTTTCTCAAAATACCAAACAGATCCCCCATTCTAGCCATGCCTCATATCCCTCTATTTCACTTCCTGTTTCAAAAGTGCTGATTTTCCGTATAAAGCTTAAAAAAGTGTGTCAATTACTTTGTTACTATTAAATTGGTCTTTTGTAGATATTTTTAATTTATTCTTCATATATTCTATTGTGTATTGCTTGGAGGGGGGGGCACCAAATCATAATCTCGTCTAGGGCACCAAAATGTCTAGGGCCGGCCCTGCAACAACCAATAAATTGAGGCAGTCGGAATAGAAGTAGCTGCAGTAGTGGTTCTAGACTAATTTTACTGGCGGGGCCGTGATGGGGTCAATCATTCTATGAGAGGCACATTTAATGCAGGAAGAAGGAGATTTAAAATGTTTTGTTTAAAGTCATGGTGCATGAAAAAACATAAAATACCATTATTGGTGTTTTATTAAAGGTGGGATATGTAATTTAATTCAGAAACACTTTTCGTTATATTCCATGGAATGCTCTTAACATCCCGATAGCAATGAATATCTTAAGTGCTTTGAAAATAAATCATTCAGTCATCTGTGGAAGCCGTGGCGCTGTAAAAAGCACGACCAATCATCTGAGCCGGCCCGGCTAAAGTAACTGGATGGCCTACCTGCCTGTCAGCCGTCCATCTGGGCACAAACTTATCTCGTGCCCTCATTGGTCATGTGCGCGTTCGTGTGTGTTGGAGGAGGGACTCTGTAAGGAAGTCTGAAGGAAGAGGCAGAATTCTTCCGGTTGTGTATTTTCAAATTCTAGCCAGTTTCTCCAAAATGACATACCCCACCTTTAAGTAACAGAGTTTGTGTCAATGACTTTATTATCATTTTATTGTTTTAGTTACTTTGGCCCAAGATACAGAAGAATAAAATAAGTTTGGGATAATAAATACATTATTTAGGTTTTATTTGATTTATTGATACCTATTGGTAATTGTTTTAGTCACAATATTTGTTTCAGTAACTTACTTATTAAATTACATTACTGAAAAAAAGCACAGTAACTTAGTATTTTACATTAATTTAATCATCATAGATTGTTATTGTTCACTTGACATTGACACAAGAACCTGTTCCTTTTCAAATCTGTACACATTTGAATGCCTAGCTTCCAGTTTCTTCGACCAAAGACTTGTGATTTTAAATACATTATATAACTGTTGTACTTTCCCTCTTTACCAAGCCAGTCTGATTGAATGATTGCACAGAGTTTTGTTCTCCGTGTTAAAAAAATAACCTTTTTTGCTAACCCCTCAACCTCCTATGACCTGAAAGCATAAAGGACCAATACAAAATATAGACATAATGGTCTAAGCCAGCGGTTTTCAAAGTGTGAGGTGCGCCTCCCCTGGGGGGCGCCAGAGAGCTTCAGGGGAGGCGCAGCGTGAGAAAAGAAATAACGAGAAACAGTGAAATCTAGCTAGTTAACTTCAGCTAACTTTATGCGAGCGGCAACATGGATCGATTTTTAGTGAAGTTACCTTAAGTGAAAGAAGAGACAGCATCTGGCGGAAAACGTCAGCTTTGTTTTGAAATAAAAGTTGTGGCTCATCGGACATTTATGAGAGAAAATCCCTAATGTCCGAGTGCAAGTGAATGCAGCACAAGACGCGAGCCGCCTTGTAACCCCTCCCCCGGCCCTGGGGTGAGCGTGGAAATGTGATTGGCGGCGATTTCATTTGAACGGGACCGCGCATTTGGACCCAAGTACACGGAAGGTAAGGAATGAGGTATTTGCGGTCTACAATGACAGAGAAGAGACTGTCAAGTTTGGCTGTACTCAGCATTGAATCAAAACGCACTAAAGCTGTTGATCTTAATAAGTTTGTGAGGCGTTTTGCTGAACAAAATGGTAATAGCCGCATTCAGCTGTAATAGCCATGCCAACTTGATGCTCTGCTCACGGATGACTCGATGAGCATAACAAACTGTTAAAATGATGACCTTACGTGTGTAAATATATTTTTTTCTTTGTGGGGGTCTGCCCCAAAAAAACAGTTTTAAGTCCTGAGAAAGTCAAATAAGACGGTGTGTAAAACTACACTGCCCAGCCAAAAAAAAGTAACCACTTTGATTTAACTAGTAATAACCCCTGCAATATAGCAACAACAATAATAATGAAAATAGCAATAACATATGGGAGGGGGGGGGTTCGGCTGTTCTTATGTTCTCTGAGGGGAGGCTCACCTTCCCACACTTTGAAAACCCCTGGTCTAGGCAATGTATTACTGCCCAAATAAAGCTTTAGTGGCAGGCGGTTCCAAACTTTTCAATGTGATCAGAAATATGTGCTTTGGATGTATTAGTGATTCAGATAAATACAAAGTGTATCCACCAGAGAGCAGCAAAACATTTTTTTTAACAAACTAACTGTCCTTAGATTCATATGTTAAAATTAGGGCTGTCAAACGATTACAATTTTTAATCAGATTAATCACAGTTTAAAAATTAATTAATCATGATTAATCACCATTCGAACTATTTTCCAAAATATGCCATTTATTTATGTATATTGTTGTGGGAATGGAAAGATAAATGAAAGAAGGCGGATATATCCATTTAACATACAGTATCTATGTTTATTATAACATTTTCTGCGTGTCAAAATGAAAGACAACCCACACACACCTATCAATCATCAAACCGTGGGGTCTTAATTCATTACGTGTTGATTTCTATCAACGGGGGAGTACTTCAGGAAAGTCGACGGGGGGGGGGGCTAGTGGAGTACTTCTTGACCACAGAGTGTGAACGTTGTGATCAGCTGTTTTAGCGCAGTTCTCCAGTGAAGGGGGGAGTCTCCCTCCGCAGCCGGTTGGCGTAGTTTTGGCACAATTCCGTTGTACAGACCGACGTTAACAGCAGCCCTGTCTGTGCACACGGAGACCGACTCTGTCGTCCGGTGATCTAACCGCCTTCTGGAAAAGCCTCACAAGTACGTCGGTACGCAAATGCGCTTTGTGACACAAGTGACGGTACGCATTTCAGATTACGCATATAACCTGCGTACCAGTTATGTGCACCCCTGTACTACAGCAAAAGTATTCTCCGTCGGGACTTCCTGCAACAACACCACGCCGTTATCAAAGATGTTCTATTGAGAAGACGATCACTACGTGACAAAAGTTTTCAAAACCGTGGCTACTGAAATCAATCTGACTAACTGCTGTCTGTGCAATTTACTCCGCGCGAGTTGGCAGACTTTATTTTGCTTACTTTAACATCATTTTTCATGGTGGGGCTAAGCCATTTCTTGGTATGGGTGTAGCCTACCCCAGCCATACCCTGGCGCTGCCACTGGTGGCACGTATGGGGCGGGCCATTCTGCACATGCGTTAAATGCGTTAAATATTTTAACGCAATTAATTCAAAAAATTAATTACCGCCGTTAACGCGATAATTTTCACAGCACTAGTTAAAATTGTAATAAAACAAGTGAACTCTTATTTTTGTATGTCCTGTGGGCAACAGACAAACATTAACAATTTGTCTAGCTTTTTTAATCAATTGACAGCACTAACATCAACACATTCATTACCATCATAGGCATATCTCAATGAAACGGGATCATATTTTCCCAAACATGACAGAACATGGCTCTCACACCGGCCCCTAATTGTTAGCGACAGGCTAACAGTTTCCACAAAAAACACAATCATACAGAATGTAAGCCAGAATGACATTCAACTGAGCCGAACAATGCAGGTGACGATCCTGAGAACTGTTGCAGACTAAAAAAATAAGTAGTGATTACCATTGTTCTGGTAGACTTAAATGTATCTGCTACAATGCTGAGTATATGTCACTATTAATGCTATATAAATTATATTATACTGTGTAACAATAGTTGACAGATAACTAATGTAATAATAATAATATATTTTATTTCTATAGCGCTTTTCTTGAACCCAAAGACGCTTTACATTTGGGAGGGAGGGAAGACAAACAAAACAAAAACAAAGCCAAAAAGAAACAAAACAAAACAGAAAAGCAGTCAGGAGGAAGTTGATTGAGAAGGGGGGGGGGGGGGCTTATGGATACAGAGTTGAAGATGTGGGTTTCGAGGCGGGACTGGAACAGGGTGAGGGACTCAGACTCACGGAGGTATTTGGGGAGGGAGTTCCAGAGCTTCGGGGCTGCCACAGAGAAGGCTCTGTCCCCGAAGCTCCGGAGTTTGGCCTTGGGGATGGAAAGCAAACTGGCTGAGGTGGATCTGAGGGACCGGGGTGGTTGGTAGAGGATGAGGAGGTCAGTGAGGTAGGGGGGGGGCAGATGGTGGAGGGCTTTGAAAGTGAGGACCAGGAGTTTGTAGTGGATGCGGTGTGAAACGGGGAGCCAGTGGAGTTCTTTGAGGACCGGGGTGATGTGATGCCATGATTTGGTGTGGGTGAGGAGTCTGGCGGCTGCGTTCTGGACACGCTGGAGTCTATTGAGGGATGTAGTGCTGATGCCGTAGAGGAGTGAGTTGCAATAGTCAAGGCGGGAGGAGATGAAGGCGTGAATGAGTCGCTCAGCTGCAGGGCGGGGTAAGAGAGGGATGGAGTTTGGCAATATTGCGGAGGTGGGAAAATGAGGTTTTTACAACTTGACGGATGTGGGGCTCGAGGGAGAGGTTGGGGTCAAATATAACGCCAAGGTTGCGTGCCTGGGTGGAGGAGGAAACAGGGGTGCCATCAATGGTGACTGTCAGGTTGGGGGTTTTGCTGAGGGTGGATTTGGAGCCGATGAGGAGG